GGGTCAGATTGCGTGCATATAATAATAGATAGTTAAAACAAGAAGTATTTGAACTTTTGACGGTTGTTCAACATCTATGCACGGTTACTAAACTAGTAACCGTGATCTATCAAAACCAGAAAATTGTTAGTAGTCCGAATTTTTGCACAGTCGAAAATAAAGCAGAAATTCAACAAGCGGTTGCAAAAGCGAGCGATTGGAAAGCGGAAGCGGGCGAAATGAGTTCTGTACTTCTTTGTTTGATGAAGCGATGCTGATGCCACATTGTCGCCATAATGAGGCCACAATGAAGCGAAGCGATGACCGCCTCAACTTTTTATGTCACGACATTGAAGCGACACTGAAGCCATAACAATGCCATAATGATGCGATGCTGAAGCAAAGCTGACGCTGAAGTGAAGCCAAAGCTTCCGCGAGAACTGTACTGTATGCTCATGTAAACAGCACCTAGACTGCTGGTTGTGTACATGTAAACAGCACCTAGACTGCTGGCTATGTACATGTAAACAGCACCTAGACTGCTGGCTGTGTACATGTAAACAACACCTTGACTGCTTTCTATGCACATGTAAAACAGCACATAGAATCTTCTCTCACAATCTTGTAATATCCATATCCTTCTATATGGCCATCATGCCTACCTGTTTACATTTATAGTTTGCAAAAAGTCCTTGATAAATTCGGCTTTATGTTCTGATGTGAAATAATATGAATCTCCTCTCACAGTCTTGCAATATCCATATCCTTTAGATGGAGAACAAAGTTGAAAAACCATATAAAAATAAATTCTGTTAGTGGCACAAGTGTATCACAGGATTCTGTTTTACTCAGAGGTGCTCGGGTACCTTGCTTTAATAAATTAGAGAAGTAATCAGAAAAGTCGCTTGAGTATCAAACTCCACTGAGCAGATCAGATAGGCAAGTAGTGCACCAGCCAGCAAGCAAGGTACCAAGCACAGGCTTAGTTTTGATTACTGATTTGGGCACTTATGTTTCATACAAAAGGTAGAATTATAGCATGGGTTGAAGTACAGCTACAGGGAGGGGTAGCATGAACCTCTTGATCATGAACTGTCAAATTACCACGTTTGCACTTGGAATGCTGAACAACTCTTAATACTCATGATTGGAATGTCAAGCAACCAATCTAATCCGGGCTACCAATACAGTTTGCAATTTATTGGCCAGTTAATTTTATACCCAAGTATTATAGCTGTTTTTTGCATTTAAAAAAAAAAAATTAAAACACGCCAAACTTGTCTGAAAAATACAGTCTATCAACTATTAGTAAAAATAGGATGATTCTGCTACCATTTGCGACCAAATCAGATAGTGTTGTACTACCAGGACAAAAATCAAGGATAACATGCTACCCCAGGATATAAAATAAACTACATAAATGTGGCAGCTGTATGATCCAGAAACCTCCCCCCCCCCTCCACATAGACTCTAGCATTGATCCCCTTTCTGAGTTCTATGCGGCCTGAGGTTGTGTGGTGGGACGTGTAATTACAATTTTACCATGGTGTGACCTCAAACACACGACAACTGTATTATTATTCATGGGAATTTATTACGGAAAGAGTTCCTTAAGACGCCCTCAACGGTAATTGTATATACCCTTCCAGATAACTATACGTGTCTGAAAAAGGGCATATACAATTAAAAATGGGAGAGCGGCACTAAAGAATTGGTACTTTTATTTACACTGTTTGCATTCATAATATAATCATTTTTTTATGAAGTAACTGAAATATAAATAAAATTTGAGACTGACTTACCCGGAAAATTTGGTAAAATAACTCTTGCATTGGCCGCCAAAAGGTATGGCGTTATGAGAGCAAAGTCTTTATGCGACGCCGGGGATCCATGGAGACAGACGATAATAGGGGCATCCCGTTTCCCGATATCAACGTAGGAGACATCGAACACGTCGCCGCAACTTTCGACCGTCGTCACTTTCAGTTCAAAATCGGCAACTTCCCTAGAACAGTAACATCGAACGATTGGATGCCGGCGCTTGAGGACAACATGTCGCATTTGTGTGACCAATACGGTATTGTGACGACGATACAGAGACGAGGCGGAAAGGGCAGCAGACGGATTCTGGCAACTTGAAAATGTACTAGAGTTGTTGCTGATAATAATAGCACGCTTACTAAAGGCTTGAAAACAAGGAATTACATAGGTCTTGCTTGGCAAGTGAACGTAGTGAAACTTTCGTATCATATTTGATCACCGTCCTACATTCTCCACTCTCAAACACATCGCCGGTGACCAACCATTTTTAGTACCTTCAGGTTTAATGGTTGTTGCCGCAGGGTGGCGCTGTCTTTCAACGCTTACAACTTACAACAGGTCAATTGCGTATTTAATTCTCAATATCTCATTCTCAATATACGAATATTCAATATATACCATTTGTTAGCAAAAATCACTTTTTCTGTTTTTGACGTAATTTTGCGTAATTATTTGTCATTTGGAGAAAAAAAAAACTCTCAAAAACTTTTTTTTTTTATTATTGACGTATTGCAACAGGTGAAAACAGTACTGACACTACGAGCACCCCCTTCTTGACACCCATTTATATCACTGTACTCTTCAATGCCTTGATAATTTGTATCCAAAACTTCATCACTCATTTAAATTTATATCACAAAAATGTAAATTCCTTGGCAAATCATTATTATCTCATGTATTGGTATACATTTATCCAATTTTAGAAACCCTCATTATCCTATAATCTGAACAAAATTTGTGAACTAATAATTGATGAAAAATTAAAGGGTAGTGGTTGTGCCATGCATGCATGGTGATTAGAAGACATCAAAGGAGTCGTCGTAGTGCATGTCGTGCATAGGCCAAAACCCGAACTCCATAAGAATTTCACCATTAGAAAGGCGCATTGGATTGTGGGAATATCAATGTTTATCACCACAAACTTTCCTTTTTAAGCTGAATATATGGGTATCAGACATTAATAAATTATCACAATCTTTCCATTACTGTAAAGGCATTAATTATTCACTGGGTTTTAATTTCGCTGATAGGAAAAATCAGCTAAACTAAATCCATGTGACAATAACAAAGGGAACTCACCGTTTCTCTGCCAGATTTGTGAAAATGCTCAATCATTAAAATAGTGAAATTAAATGCCAAAATAGATGGTTTCACAGAAATTGGACCATCTAATTTCCCTTAAAACAATAGTACTTTTTTGTATTTCTATTCAACCATAGAGAATGGTCGCTTTCAGATTCTATCAATCCACTTTGATGTTTTTTACCTATTGATAAGAAATAACTACTAGTATATCTTTGAGTCTTCATAAGTGTTTTTTACTTAACTTTACTTTGAAATCACAGACTAAAACCAATAAAAATCCAACCACTCCAAAAATAATTATATAATATTTTTTCTTCTAATTTCAGAACCCTGGCTGAGGGTCATGTCATCATACACTATATTACTGAGTATTATTAGCAAAATAAAGCTACAGTAGTACTGCTTATAATAACAATAATCCATTTTTTGTTCATTGCAATATCTTGTGTTATGCGTTAAATACAAAGTTGCATAGTTGCGTCAAAGCATTGTGTGGGATTCAACAAACACTAAACTATTTTTGAAGGTGTTTCCATACCTAATAATGTGTTATGCTGTCACAGTGTAAGGCCTGCTTTTTGCTATTAAGAGGGGCAACCATAGAACTCACATTGGACAGCGGGTTCTTTCACTACTAGAATTGGGGTAGACAAGACAATAGTAGTGGAAAATGAAATACACATACAGCAAAATATCAAGTTAAAGTTTCTGTTTTAATACCTTTCAAAATAATTACAATAATTAAATTCACTAAAATATGGGATTGCCGAGGGAAGTGTGCATTGGTGATAACTCACAGTTCCAGGATGTAGAAATGGACGACAGTCAATGGCTTCTGCAACACAACAACAAAGAAATACAGGAGTCTTGCTTGCAGAGGAACGATGTTATTCATACAAGTCTCACAGAATGATGATTGAAGCCTGTATCACTTGTCTCACAATAACGCAGCAGGAACACCCAGGGTATTAAGTTGAAATGATGACCCCAAGTGACCTCACTCTAGCCTATTTATAGGGCATAAATAAAAACACCACCTGGGTTTCCACATGAGCCAATCAGGATGTGGTCTTGCCAGCAGCTGTCTCACTTGGGCAACTCAGTAGATCATAAACATCCTTTGTTATGTAAATCACAAGCGCACACCTGGTATAATCCTCTCTGAATGATAGGCATTTTGACATTTCACATTTCACTGGCGGATCAAGAAATTCTGTGGGGGGGGTTCCCTATTGACGTGGGGGGGGGTTCCTATTGACGTGGGCTGGGTTTGTCAATTGATTGTTCAATTTCTTTTTGCTGGCTGGGGGTGTCTGGCGCACCTCTCCCTAAATCCGCGCGGGCATTTAACTATAGGAGAAATTCAAGTTTAAAATCAAATCATAAAATTCATTCATGTATTACAAAGTGAACATAAAATAACCAATTGTAACCACAACAAGACAGGATAACATGCATGTTCTCAGCACACTACTAAATTACAAAATGATATGCTTTCTCTCCATTATAAATAGACCCTGATGGTTTTAAACACAGCTTTCCATTCTCAATCCATTTGTAAGCATTTGAAACACGTACACCACAACACAGATCAAGGTCAGATGTTTTTTACATATTGCAACAAGTTCAAGATTGCAGTAGCTGTAATTTCAGGATAGCTTGCATGTAACCAATGTTTACCCTTTTCTAAATGAACAGCTTGCATCTGGCCAATTGTATCTGCAATACAGATAAATCAATTTACCAAATTTAATAAAAATAAAATATATACCGGTAAGAAAAAAGACATTAAAATATAAAACTTTGCCTATACAGCAAGAAACATTGTTTTATTAGTGGAGGCTGTGAGTTAAGGTAGTGAGAGGAGAAAGGGGACTAACAGTGTTTAGCATTTCCCTTGCCCGTTCTTAAGCATGCAGCTATGGCAATGTATATGTTTTCAGAAAACTGAGATATAAGAGAACACAATCTTGTATGTTTCGTGTTAATATTCAGTTGTATAAATGCTCAGGGGATTAACTTACAAACATTCCCATGAACTTCCAAAAAAATAGGGTTTTTATGTGGGATTGGCTGTTTCTCATTATTCCCTTTTTTTGTTATGAGTTCTAATTTTTTCAGTGTTAAATGTTTGAAACTGGCTCTCGGAATTTTATGTACCTCATGGTGTTAGAGATATAGTCAGTCAAACTTTATAGACTAAATTTCATGAATGTGTCCATGATCTTATCTCGCTTTTCCCCTTTAGCTACCTTAATACAATACATAATTGTTATACAAAATGTACATCTGTCAATGTAATGCCATAAGTTACAACGTGCCGCAATTTAGCGGTATTGTACTGCGTATTTTCATCCTACCATATTAGAAAATGCGAATTCCAAAATATGGAACGGTTACGCATGTAAGCATCCTCTAATAATAAAAGCAAACATTGCTGCCCCCAGGGTCAAATTCTGTTCTGATTCAGTTCGCTAAGTCTCATGATGTATTTTTATTTGGATGTAAATTCTTGAACGTACCAAGAAAAATGACACATTTTTACAGTGTACTGAAAAAATATTTGATTGATTATCTTTGTATGTCTTAGCCTGTGATTACAGAATTTTTTTTTTTCAATTTACGTTGTATGAACAAAAAAATAGTGTATGGTAATTACGTTGCCCCCCCCCCCCATGAAGAAAAAGATGTATAATAATTTTATTACGAGGATGCCCCAAAGTATGCACTCAGACAGTACGTGGTCACATCGCCCTCCTCTGCACTGCGGTTGATACTCTCGCTGTACTGTCTTCATGCATACTTTGCAGTATATAATCTCATATTTATCATAGTACATGTAATAGAAATCTGTAATATAAGATCATAGGAGCCACAATACATAATGTTTCCTTATTGAAAAGAAACTCTCAGTCATATTTTCAGTGCTTTGACATGTACAATGCTATTTATGTTTTTTAATTAATGTGTATGTAAATAAATTATCCAAGTTAATACTGTCAATTGTCATCCTAGCTTACATTAACAAGCTTATTTACAAATTTGTGAACATTGCAAACACTTACCTATGTTACCTTTGATGAATTTTCCATCTCCGTTAACAACAGAAATCTTTTCATCTGGTATATTTACAAACTTTATCAAGTCACAGTAGACCTCACGTTCAATGAACTTGTCACATGCAGCCGTAAGAAGGACAAATGGCATTCTCTTAGAACAGATTCTTGTCCAGTTCTTTTGAAGCTGTCAAATAAAGTAGCCACAAACTATAACATTAAAGCGTGGTAGTCGTCGCGTTGCGCATGTGGGGGATATATGGGTCTCATATAAACAAAGATGGCTTCTTTGTCGAAGGAATCACCGGCGGTAATCAGTGCAAGTCATGCCCAGGTCAAACCTCATACTTGTGATTTCCATTTGAAGAACGCATTGGATTGTGGGAAAATCAATGTTTATCAACACAAATATGTCGCACATGAGAAGCGCGACGACTATCGCGCTTTAAGCCTTTCACCACCAAAGTAATTATTCACAAATTACAACCCACATACATTTGTAATTTGTTTCATTTTTGTTCTAAAACTCTGATCAAGATTTGTAGCCGATAGAAGATGATTTGATCCAAAATTAAAACAAAATTTTTCATCATTCCCTCTTTTCATCACAAAATAGCCCCTTTTATAGTCTGCACTTTCCTTTAAAAGACAAAAATAGCCAAATTTGTTGAGTAAAAACTGAAAATTTACCCAAATTTTGCCTGTTTTTTTTGCTCCAAAATTAGGGTTCATTTCCAGAAATATTGGGAAATATAAGAGTGCAGAAAAATTTGGGGCAAGAAAGTCTGCAATCTGATTAAAATCTGATGTAGTGTACGGGCTTTAATTATTTTGGCTATAAACTTATTTTAATTTTATTTTTTATTACTTTTGTTATTAATGCCCTTTTATTTTATTATTTTACTTTGATTTTGATTTTGTGAATTTTTTTTAATTCCGCCCTACCTACATCTGAACCGATGCCTATGTAAC